CCGGGTCCTGGGTGCGGGAGGGAAGCCAGTGCCAGCAGCCAGGGGAAGAAAGGCCTACTCTTGCTTGAATTTTGTGCATTAGGCCTCTAGTATATTCATAAGGTGGAAGCTCTACCAGTGGTTCTCAACCTTCCTAATGCCGTGACCCTTTAATACAGCTCCTCAAGTTGTGGTGACCCCCAACCACAAAATTATTTTCGTTGCTACTTCATAACTGTAATTTTGCTACTGCTATGAACTGTAATGTAAATATCTGATATGCAGGATGTATTTTCATTGTTGGAGACCCACAGGTTGAGAACTGCTGCAACCCACATGTCCTACCTTGTCAAGATAAACCTGCTGCATCACCCTGCACTGGAACCAGAGAAGCCCCTTGGGGGAATTACTTTCCTTACAGGATGCCACAGTGGGGCCTGTTTATTCTAGCATCAAAGATGTCAGTGTTAGGAGTGGGTACAAGCCTAGTGTTTCTATTCCCACTCCACATCACTATATTCTCAGTTGGTGAAACCTTGTATAAAACATGACCAACAAACAATCTCCCAAAATACAAACAAATCAAAACTCTTTCTTCAAAGATAGGACCTCTAGCTGTCTCACTCTCATCTTCTTCTGCTGTCGCAACCATCTTCTTGCTTTATGGGCATTCTTATTAAGAGTTTATTTTCTGGTTGAAAATCTTCCCCTTCGTCTGAATTCTTATTACAATTATGAACAGATTTTTTATCCATTTGAATGCCAATAGCCATTGTGAATAAAACACAAGCTTCAGATTTCCTCCACTGCCCCTCACTTATTAATTCCCACACTCACTAAACAAGAACCATTGGACATTTGGAGAATGCCTTTGCTATGGCAGAGAGAAACTGAAACAAATCCAACGAAACCAGTAACTCTATGGAGGTAAAGACAGAGCAACAGAATTAATGTGAGAAATAAGAGTGATACATCCATGGAACAAGAGTAGGATGCTCTATATATGAAAGCTGTTGTAATCTTAATCTATGAAGAAGAAAAAGGAGGAGGAGGGAGAGGAGGAGGAAGAGGAGAAAAAGTGGAGTAGGAAAAGGAGGGGAGAAGGAGGGGCATAGTGGGGGAAGGGAGGGAAGAAAGAGAAGAGTTTGGAGAATAAAATTGTGAAAATCACAAAGAATGTACTAAGAGATGGACAATAGGATAGTAAAGATAAGAATAGAGAATAAATCCCAAAGGTTTAACCTCCAGCTGACAGGAATTTCAGGAAGAACAGAGAACAGGGAGAGTAAATCATCAAATAAATAATTCAAGAAAATTTCTCAAAATTGGAGGACCCAATTCTCCTAAGTGAATGAGCCTACAGAAGGTCAATCAGTTTAAATGGAAATAGCTTCTCAACCAAAGAGAATTATCATGAAATATTACAATCTTGGGATAAAGACCAGATTTTAAAGCTTTCAGATAGAAAAAAAATTTAGTTAAAAAGAGGGATGGGGAGGATACCTATTTCACAAATTTTGGGTCTAATACAATTCTCCAATTAATATCAACCAGGATTTCTTTGAGAAATGGCTGATTTTAGGATTGCAGTAGGAAATTTACAAGGAGAGTCTGGAGCATCTTCCTTAATTCCAGAAATTAAGGAAGTGTTCAAAAAAACCCTCATAGTAATGTAGGTATAGCAAAGCAAATGGGCATAAGAGCCACCTGCAAAAGCTACTAATTACCAAAACTGGAACAATTTGAGCTACAAAATAAATAAAGTCATGTTGGATTATAACCCAAAGTATAAAATATCCATGAGGCCATACTGATATAAATAAGTAATTGGATAAATTAGTAAATGTGGGAGAAGAGATACATTTTTCATGCAGAAGAATTCTAAATAGGTGATGTGGATACTCCACACTAAAGGAAAGGGAGCATAATTCCTCACTTCTTACATGCGGGCACATAGAGACTTATTTCCAAGGTGTACAATATGGAAACAGGGAAAAAGAGAAACGTTATTGTGTAGAAATCTGACAAACATTTTTACCTCAGCCTCGTGGTCAAGGTCAGCATCCACACTCATAAGTCACATTGATAGTATGTACTCTTGATGCGATTTGATGAAAATGGCGATTTACTTCTTTGATCTTCCTCCTAACACCCAAACCCCCAGAGCAA